CTATCCCTGTCCCCATCCCTGTTCCCATCCCCTCTCCTTGTCCCTGTCCCTTTCCTTGACCCTGTTCCTGTCCCTGTCCCCGACGGTGTCCCTGTCCCTGACGGTGTCCCTGTCCCCATCCCTGACCATGTCCCTGTGTCCCTGTCCCTGACGGTGTCCCTGTCCCTGTCCCCATCCCTGACCATGTCCCTGTCCCTGTGTCCCTGTCCCTGACGGTGTCCCCGTCCCCAGCTGCGCTCGGTGTGCTACAACAACTGCAGTCTGTGGCTGCGCCAGGCGGGCCGGTCTCTCCTGTACGAGTTCCCCGCGCTGGGAGCGGGGCTGGCCCTGGGCACCGGGCCCGGCTTCACCCCCAAGGGGCTGCGCTACAGCCACCGCTTCCAGCTCAGCCCCTGCGGCCACCAGGTGAGCGTGGCCACGCGTGGGGACACCTGGGGACACGCGTGGGGACAGGGGAGGGGGCACACATGGAGAGGAGAGGAGAGCATGGGAACGGACATGGGCACGCGGGGACACGCGTGGGGCGCACTCTGCTGCCTGTGTGCCCTGCATATATGTGCCCTGCGTGTGCCAGGTGTGCTGTGTGTGTGCCAGGTGTGCTGTGTGTGTGCCAGGCATGTGCCACCGCATGCCAGGCATGCTCTCCACCTGCCCCTACATGTGCCCCATGTGCCATGCATGTGCCAGGCATGTTCCCCGTGTACACCTCATGTGTGCCCTGTGTGTGCCAGGTGTGCCCTGCGTGTGCCAGGCATGCTCTGTGTGTGCCCTGTGTGTGCCAGGTGTCTTCCCTACATGTTCCCCACATGTGCCAGGCGTGTGCCCCATGCGCCATGTGGGTGCCATGTGTGTGCCCTGTGTGTTCCCTGCATGTGCCCCGTGTGCCAGGCATGTGCCAGGCGTGTGCCATGCATGTGCCATGCATGTGCCAGGCATGTGCCCCGTGTGTGCCCCGTGTGCCGTGCATGTGCCAGCGTGTGCCCCACATGCCGTGTGTCTGCAGGGCAGGAAGAAGGCCTCGTGTGCCGACTCGGTGCCGCAGGGCCGGGGGGGAGTCCCCGCCCGCCGGGTGACGTCGTTCGTGTGCCAGGCCATCGTCGTGCCCCCCGACAGCAGCGGCGCCCGCGCAGCCCTGTCCTCACAGCCCGTCAGCCTGGGGGACACCCTGCTGGGTGAGGGACAACGGGAATGGGATAATGGGAATGGGATAATGGGATAATGGGAATGGGACACCCTGCTGGATGAGGGGATGGGAATGGGATAGTGGGAATGAGATAATGGGAATGGGACACTGCTTGGTGAGGGACACTGGGATAACAGGATAATGGGACACTGGGAATGGGACAGCCTGGTGGAACAAGGACACCCCTGTGATGCTGGGACACCCTGTTGTGATTGGGGACCCCCTGCTGTGACTGGGGACACCCCAATGGCAGGGCTGGGGACACCCCTGGCCCTCCTTGGTGGCCCGGGACCACCCCAGGGACATGGCCGGGTGTCCCCCAGGTGTCACCACCAGCGCGGTGCTGGATGGCATCGTGTCCCCCCCGGAGCTGTTCCCTGGCAGCCACCCCGACCTGCCCGACGTCATCTTCTTCTTCAGGTGGGTGTAGGGACAGGGGGGGCACCCTCCCTGTGTCCCCAGTGTCCCCCTGACCCCCCCCACCACCACCCCTGTGTCCCCTGGCAGGTCCAACGATGTCACCCAGCCCTGCACGGGTGGCAGGGCCACCACCCTGCGCCTGCGCTGTGACCCCCTGAGCCCCGGCAGTGGCACCCTGGCTGTCCCCAGGTGAGGGGGGGGGGACATTGGGGACCCCCAACCTGCTGGGGGGTTGGCTGATCCCTTGGGGGGCTTCACTTTGGGGTGTCACGATGTTCCCAACCTCGGGGTGCCACCCCGGCTGTCCCCAGGTGTGGGAGGGGGCACTGGGGATGCCAAGGGGGTTTGGGGACCCCCAGGGTGACCCCACGGTGTCACCTACAGAGAGGGACACACCCTGGGGGGCTTCACCCCTGCCCCATTAACCCCCCCCCGGTGTCATCATCACTGACCCCCCTTTTGTTGTGTCCCCCCCCCAGCAAATGCCCCGAGGGCACCTGTGACGGCTGCACCTTCCACCTGCTCTGGGTGTCCCCGCAGGGCTGTCCCCGCTGCGGCCCCTCCCACTACCGGGCCATCCCCGGCGCCTGCATCGGCGGCGTCCAGGTACGACCCCCCCATCGCCCAGAGCCCCTGCTCCCCCTCCCCACGAGCCCCACGGGCTGTGGGACCCTCCATTTCCCCCTCCCCACAAAACCACCCGCACGTGTAGAGGGGTCCCGGTCCCGCCCCGCCCCACAGGGGTGGGTTTTAGGACCTCCCCAAACCCCATTAAAAC